TCTTCTATTCAATCAATACTAAATAATTATCTTTGTAAAGGCAAAAAAAGCTAGGTGTCTTCATGATTACTATACTGTGACAATAATGGCTCAACTTAACAGGTGGTTTAACTCTGCTATATTTCACCTATGGGAGACCCTAGAACAGTGATGGCGAACCTTTTTGAGCCCGAGTGCCCAAAACTGCAACACAAACCAACTTTTTTATTTCAAAGTGCCAACACTGCAATTAACCACTTGCCTACCGGGCACTTCTACCCCCTTCCTGCCCAGACCAATTTTCAGCTTTCAGTGCTGTTGCACTTGACAATGACAATTGTGCGGTCATGCAACACTCATTTTTTCACACAAATAGAGCTTTTTTTGGTGGTATTTAATCACCGAGTGTTTTATTTTTTGTACTATAAATGAAAAAAGAGCAAAAAATTAAAAACATAAAAGGTTTTCTTTGCTTCTATTATAAAATTTTGCAAACAGGTAATACTTCTTCTTTGATGTGCGTTGGTGAGGCTGCACTAATAGGCAGCACTGATGGGCATTGATGAGGCGGCACAGATAGGTAGCACTGATGAGGCGGCACTGGTGGGCATTGATGAGGCACTGATGACGCACTGATATGCAGCAATGATGGGCACTGATAAGCGGCACTGACTAATAGCACCAACTGGAGGCACTGACAGACGGCACTGATCGGCGGCACTGCTGGGCATCATTGATGGGTGGCACTGATGGGCAGCACTGATGGGTGACACTGCTGGGCACTGACAGATGGCACTGCTGGGCAGCACTGACAGGTGGCACTGCTGGGCAGCACTGACAGGCGACACTGCTGGGCACTGATGGGTGACACTGCTGGGCACTGGTGGGCATCATTGATGGGTGGCACTGATGGGCAGCACTGATGAGCGACACTGCTGGGTGACACTGCAAGCAGTTAATCTCACCTCTGGCAGTGTCGGTGTGGCTTCCAACCCAGCAGCTCATTCCCATCCACGTTGAAAACGTTGCCCCTGGCCCCGAAGCAGTGTGGGAGCCTCTTCCTCTCTTTCACGCCCATCCCCGGCTACATCACCCCTGGTGCCAGATCCGCATAGGAGCTGTTTCCTCTCGTCCACACCCACCCTGGCCCCAGAGACATGTGGGAAATGTAGTTTGATGGGGGTCCAGTGTGGACGAGATCTGGATGGCCGGTCCGTGTGCGCTCATCTTCCTCTTCTTCCTGGCGTGCCCACTGAGATGGCTCTGCGTGCCAGCACTGGCACGCGTGCCATAGGTTCGCCATCACTGCCCTAGGTGGTCACAAAGATACCAGGGAATAGTTTATATAACTACTTATTAGCTAGCAGATTCCTGTCGGGTAAATCCGCTCATGTTTCTCCAACAATTCAAGCCACCTTGACAGCATGGTGCACGCTTTGTAATACCCAGCTGAGCTCTCTCAAAACCACACCACTACCATTTCCAATATAAACCTTGGCTCTACTTTCGCTGTTCTGAATCTCAAAAATTGGCATCTTAAAAGGGAATAAGGCTTCTGGACGATCTCTATGTAGGCTCAGCTATAAAAATGTTTAGTATTTGACAAATAGAAATTAATCTACCTGACAGTGAACATTACAGATAACTGCAGATAGTCCATTTTTTTAATCTCACAGTGAGAAGCAATAAACTTCCTTGCCGTGGCAATTTGCTCAATAATTTCCAATCAGCCTGCACCAACCCAAAAGGTATCTCACTGTTCTACTCAATGTTAAACTACAAGTCAGAATTTACTAAGTCATCTTCCATTACCTCATGGGAAAAAGATCTAGACACTGTATACAAACCTGCACAGTGCATGTAGGCTCTAACTGTTTCATATGCAGTGACTAGCAGTGTAAACCTATGGAAATTGACCCAAAAAGTTCCACTGAGATGGAACCCAACACCACACCACCACCTATCTAAATTCACTCAGAATATGTCAACCAATTGTTGGAGAGGTTGTGGAAACCTAGGTACATTATTCCACATCCTCTGGTCTTGTCACTCCCTATCTAACTTTTGGCCTATCTTTAAAATGGTAGAGCAGGTTTTGAAATTCCTGACTTCAGCTTCCCCTGCTTTGCCTTACTATCAGTGGGTGTGGAGGCTATTCCTCCTTCACCAAGAAACGTGGCAATCTATATCTTTATAGCAGCATGATTGTCCTTAGTTAGGCTTCATGCATATTGGTTTATAAATCAGGGCTTCTACAGGAGTTTTGTGTTTTACCTGTAGAAGCAGCTCAATGTTATCCTATGTGTCCATGCACATTAGGACAATTAGAGGCATATTTTCTTTTTCAATATTTTTTTATTGTTGCAACAAAAAGATATAGTACAAAAACCAATTACCCACGCAGGGGATATTGATGAAAGTTCAGTCAATCATACATGGATAGAAAAATGTGCAACAAACATTTTAACAAGAATGGAAGCCAAGAGACGACCGCACGGGTGGAGCCGTCAGTCTATATATATTTTCTGGGCCCATGGGCCCGGATATATGCCTCATTTAAAAAAACTGAGGTGAAGAATAGAAAGAAAGGAGAGTGAACCAGCGTGCAGTCCTAGCCTATTTTACTTTTTAACCATAAAGCAAGGCAGTTTACTTGTACTTACTGTATTTATTGTTCATACTGTTTAAATATTGATCATTTTCATTTGCAATTGCAGTTTTTGGCCTATTTGAGTTTGTCAGTAAAAATACACTAAGTCAGGCTAATTCTATTTTTGGCTATTGCTGTGGCATAATAAGGTCCCACAGATGAGGATGGAATACCTGCATGCCCAAAGGACGCAGGGGGTCTTGCTATGCCCCATCCTTGGCTCTACTACCTTGCTGCTCAGTTGCAGCATATTTGCAAAGGGATGTATACTCCTCTTGACCCCTCTTGGCTCTTCTATACACATTTTACGCTAAACAAACCATGTACCTGATTGACAGACTGGCCTAGAGTCTGCAGCTTTTGCCAAATCCAATACACGTCTGCCCACCTATGCCCTTCTACAGAAAATATGGAACATGTCCAAATGACTCCAGCAGGTTACTAGCTTTATGCAATATAGTCCTATCAGGCATAATGTTAACTATCCGGAGTTGGCTAAGATACAAACCTTAAGTGCATTTCATTAATAGCTCGCTGTGCTCTTTTGAAGAGCTGCAGAATAGATTCTCCTTACCACTGTATGCGTTTTACTATGTTCAACTCATGCATGCTGTGGCAGCACAGTAGTTTAATACTACTACTACACCTAAGGGATTTATCTCCCGCTGTTACACCATGCTGCAGACAAAATATCTGAAATAGTTCTCTCTGACGGTGGAACAACAGTGGGGGGGTGGACCTTGGTACTTTTTTTGGAAGACTATTGGGAGAAAGCAATTCAGGCAATGCAAGAATGTTCTCTAAATGTGACACAAAGGGGAAGATTTACCAAAGCTGGTTCACTCAGAATCTTGTGCACCTGTGCATGGTAGCCAATCAGCGTCTAACCTCAGCTTGTTCAATTAAGCTTTAGCAATAAAACCTGTACACTTATTGGTTTCTATGCAGATATGCATGAGATTCTGAGTGAACCAGCTGTAGTAAATAAACCCCAAAAAATCATGCAATTATGTATACTTCTTATACTCCAGTAAGGCTGCACAAAATGTGCCTTTTGGAATGACCTAAATACAGTAAATGTTGCCGGGACCACGAGGACTTAACTCATCTATTGTGGCAATGCCCCAAAACACACATATACTGGGAGGGAGTGGTGAATACGGAGGTATATGTAGGTTTACAAAACATCCATCCCACTCCTCCGCATGCCTTGCCTACCGGGTATTTTAGATGACCTTCAACTGTCAACTCCCACTAGATAGGCTGTGGCTAGGGTCCTTTTCCAGGCTCAGAGAGTTCTCCTATGGAATTAGAAATCTTCAGATCCTCCCCCTCACAAAGAATGGGTGCAGTGATGGGGGAGACTCTATGCCTAGAGAAGATTATATATATATATATATATATATAGATAGATATAGATAGCGATACCCCCAAAGGGACTGCTTAAGTTTGTTCACTCTGTTACTCTGCTTCTCAACCCCAAGAATTGTCTCAGTAGCGTACAATAGTGTAAGTGCAAGGACCAATCAAAAGCACACACTTTGTAATAAAACACAGAGATCAGCTTTACTGTAAGACCTCTATGGAATATGTTAGGTGAATCAAGAGAACAGCAAATACTGAGACAGAAAGCAATATACAGTTGTGTTCAAAAGAATAGCAGTGTGTTGAAAAAAGGGAATAAAGCTCAAAATCCTTCGAATAGCTTTTATTTCCATACACACAAATGCATTGGGAACACTACACATTCTATTCCAAATCAAAACATGAAGAAAAATATATCAAGTTTGTGTTGTTTCTCTAAAAAATTGAAGAAAAGTGAATATTAGACTGTTAAAAAAAATAGCAGTGTTTGTATTCTTCCTTACAAACTCAAACATTCACTATATAAACTGAAAAATGTGTGAAGATTTTGCTTTCCTTTGAATCACTTAATATTTAGTTGTATAAGCACTGTTTCTGAGAACTGCTGTACATCTGTGTTGCATGGAGTCAACCAACGTCTGGCACCTGTGAACAGGTATTCCAGCCCAGGATGATTGGACTACATTCCACAGTTCTTCTCTATTTCTTGGTTTTGCCTCAGAAACTGCATTTTTGATGTCACACCACAGGTTTTCTATTGGATTAAGATCCGGGGATTGGGCTGGCCACTCCATAACGTCAATCTTGTTGGTCTGGAACCAAGATGTTGCATGTTTACTGGTGTGTTTGGGGTCGTTGTCTTGTTGGAACACCCATTTCAAGGGAATTTCCTCTTCAGCATAAGGCAGCATGACCTCTTCAAGTATTCTGATGTATTCAAACTGATCCATGATCCCTGGTATGCGATAAATAGGCCCAACACCGTAGTATGAGAAACATCCCTATATCATGATGCTTGCGTAACCATGCTTCACTGTCTTCACAGTGTACTGTGCCTTGAATTCAGTGTTTGGGGGTCATTTGACAAACTGTCTCCGGCCACTAGACCCAAAAAGAACAATCATACTTTCATCAGTCTACAAAATGTTGCGCCATTTCTCTTTAGGCCAGTCAATGTGCTCTTTGGCAAATTGTAACCTCTTCAGCACGTCTTTTTTCAACAGTGGGACTTTTCGGGGGCTTCTTGCAGATAGCTTGGCTTCACATAGGCGTCTTCTAATTGTAACAGTACTCACAGGTAACTTTAGACCATCTTTGATCTTCCTGGAGCTGATAGTTGGCGGAGTCCTTGCCATTTTGGCAATTCTTCTACCCATTCTTCTATCCATTCCACGTCTTTCAGGTTTTGGTTGCCATTTTAAAGCATTTGCGATCATTTTAGCTGAGCAGCCTATCATTTTCTGCACTTCTTTATATGTTTTCCCCTCTCCAATCAACTTTTTAATCAAGGTACACTGTTCTTCTGAAAAATGTCTGGAACAACCCATTTTCCTCAGAATTTTACAGAGAAATGCACTGTAACCAGCATGTACAACATTTGCTGCCTTCCTTCTTTAAATAAGGGCAATAATTGCCACCTGTTTTTCAAAGAATGAACGACCTCACTAATAGAACTCCACACTGCTATTATTTTGAACATGCCCCTTTCAATTAGTGATTCAATTACACAGAATCAGCAGCATGCATGTCATGACTGTTGGGTCTGTTGGATTACTCTACTACACCTGCTAGTAAATTATTTGCCATGTAGAAATATCATTTCTACCAAAAAACAGTGATTGAACAGGTTAGTGATGTCTGACTGCTATTATTTTGAACACAACTGTATATATGCTCTGTCACTAAATTTGTCAGTAAAAAATAAGAACAATAAAATGTTCTGAGGAGTTGGTAACTCTGGGTAATCCGCTCCACAATCTTAAGGATGGTGAGTCAGTACTTCAACTTACAGCCAGTCCTGGAGCAGGTACATCAGGAAATGAAGCTGCACATTCCTTATGGTTAGAGTCTTCCCAGCCTGATCAGTTAATCCCCCTTCAACACTTTAGTTGCAAGCGGATTCAATGTACAGTATGCCTTCCAGGGATCAGCAATCAGAAAAAGGACCGCTATATCCACCTAATCTGTCTTATGTAGTCAATCTTCCATGGCAATCCATTCAAAAAGTGCCAGATATGCTTCAGTGCTGTCTATGATCAACATTTCTTGTAAGGCCTGATGCATAGCTATCTTGCATACAGGTGCCATCTTGAAACCTTTCAGCTTGCTGGTTTATTGCATTCTGTAGGTCCGCAATCTGTTTATCCAGCAAGCAATTTGTCTTTTGGTGGGCTGTGTCAGCATGCTTCAGGGCCTGTTGTTGCTGCGTCAGAACCTCCTCAAGATCTGTGCTTGCATATTGGCCAGAGTTGGCTGCTTGACCAGCAATTTTCTTCCTTTTAATAAAACCAAGAAGCTGACTGGTTACTATGCACAGCTGAATCAGATTCTGTGTGCTTCAGTTTTAGTAAATCTCCCTCACTGTAGCCGTAATCAATGGATCGTGGATGTAATGTCAGTATCCTGCAGACATGTCCTCCAGCTTTCTTCCCCGTACCTTTGTAGAGACTTTTTGTTTGAAAGCAGGAGTGTCAATGGACAATGAGGCGGAGGGAGTTGGGGCATGTTACACCCCAGAAATTGTTGTAATATGCTCCAAAAGTGAACTTAGCCTTTAAAAAATATAGCTTGGTGCAGAATTGATAATTTGTATGTTATTGTAGTAGGACTTCATTTAAAATAGTCTGGCATCTAGGTGACATTTATTGCTATTGTATATCGACAAGGTATATATGAACTAACTTTATCAGTAATTCCAAAAGTAGGTACCACATCCCCATTATATTTCAGAAAGTATAGATATGTGTATTGCTAGATTTTCACAAAGATAAAGTCTCAAACCATAATTTTCTGTTAAAATTATTTACACTTTATTTTACATGGTCACTAAACAGTACATGCTTAGCAGTACAGTTATCTTGAACCCTTATATACAACCAATGGAGTCCAGTTACCTTGACCTCTATATACAACCAATTATTTAATAGAGCAGTTCAATATACCTCCCAGACCTTTTCCCTCCAACACCATATTATAGGCACATTGTAACAAGTACATGTATTTTTAATATTGTTTCCAAAATATATTCTGCCTAATCATGGACTGTAGAGAAGCTGTGGGGCACTTTTATACACTGCTACCATTAGATGGCCAGAAAGAGCTGCCATGTTACTTGCTGCAGATATGGAAGTATAACTAGTAAACTGCCTTTTATTTCCTCCATCAGCTCATCCCTCCACAGTTAATACCTTTTGTATCACTCAAGCCTCCTAGATTGTAAGCTCTAATGAGCAGAGCCCGGTTTCCTCTTGTACCAAAATTGTATTGTAACTAATGTCTACCTTCATTTTGTAAAGTGCTGCACAAACTGTTGGCACTATATAAATCCTGTATAATAATATAATAATAATAAAAAACTTCTGTAAGGGATAAAAGGTAGTGGTTGTGTAGGGGTGTTAGCATGCTGTTTATACAGACATGGGTGCAACAATCATTCTCTTATTCTACTATGATTAGTAGTTCTGCCGATACGTGGCTAAATCACTTTAAATCTTGTATGTAATGTAATGCCCTCCCTAGTGAAACTACATGGTTATGATGTAGTTTCTCTGTTCCTATTTTCCAATAAAGCAATAAGGGATCAGCCATGTGTCTGGCACCTTGCTGTTCTAACATTTCTAACTCAGGAGAGCACGTTCTTTAAACTTACCTTTGCTGTGTATGAGCTGGTGTGGAATTCATTTTCATTTTTTCTTTTGAGAACATTCCTGCTCTTATGCTGTGCTTCAAGAGTAAAGGTGGAGAGAAGTTACCAAGAGAAACTTCCCTTTCCAGTTCATAACTTGAAAACCTAGACAGATACACACAAATATATTCAAGTCAGATAGATAGATAGATAGATAGATAGCCAGGGGAAGTTAGTATTTCATTTTTAGTTAGGAGGGATGGGCAGCAGCCTGGGTGTAATCGTTGGGGTCAAAGTCAGGTCAGGGCTGAGAGGTTCTGCGGATCAGCTCACCAATACCTCCCCCTGATCTACAGACTTGGAAAAGTCTCTATAACTCAGTGGGTGAGGGTGAGGAGGAGTTGTGCAGCAAGGAAGGATGCAGACCAGCAGAAGGCCTAACAGAAGCTACCAACCCACCATAGACGCAGGACTGAGTGAGTAATCTTACACCCTTTGGACCAGTTAAGGGGAAAGAAGCACTCTGGTGGGCAACTGGATTAGCTCCTTGCCTGGGACTATTTACCTTAAAGTGGCAGGCACTGGATCCCCTGCCCAGAGATTCCTTCAGACTGGATAGAGGAGTATTATCTGGGGTGGTAGACCAGGAGGGGCTGGAGAGCTCTCCAAGAAGAGAATTTTGCTGTGTAAAAAGACTTCTACATAGTTCCAGGAAGTTGTCCTCAGTTGCAGTTCCCTTGGGCAGCCCATATACCCCTTACCCAATCCAGGTTTGAAACCCCTGGACTGGTTACTGTCTCCTGGGTGCAAGTCTGTGAGGAATGTATGTTGCCTGGCTGTGCAGAGCTATAGGGAGTCCCAATTCTTTAGCGACTCTTTAAGGGGTAGTGCTACAGTTCTATAGGTTTAAAATTTGTGAAATGTATCTGAAGCACGAGCACAGACCATTGTTCCTGAATCCCAGATAATTTGGTTTCTAAAACCAATGTCACATCTTATCTAATACCAGATCTCCTAATTTCTGAGAAACTCTAACACCAAAAATAGCTCCTAATCAGATATCAGATTTTGCTAGACATAAAATGGCTAACAACAACAAACAATATTATGAAAGGTAAAGTAAACATTTGATTAAAACACACCTTCACAGTGCAACCCCGCCACTCAATCTTTTGTGGTAGCCACCACAAAAATACCCTGTGTAAAAGGTTTAGAGGGAGCAGTGATATCACCTCCACCATGTGACAAGTGTAGGGACTGGTTGCTAGACACAAGACGGGTAAATGTCAAGTGGCAATATCGTTTATTGAAATGACATTAGACAGCTATAAAACACCCAATTAATTTCAGCCATCAGGCCTTCGGCATAGCTGTTTTACAATGGTTTCATGTGATTTCAATAAAGGATATTGCCAGTTGACATTTATCCAAGTACAGATGGTCCCTCCAGTTGTACACAGAGGCATCAGCAGCCTTTCAGTCTGAACACTGGGTGGAGCGGAGGATTGAAGGAAGGTAGCAGCACCACTACACCAGTTTACATTGCTAGACACAAAGCATCAGATTGTGGGAGTAGTTCACATTCTCCCCATATCCGGAGGCATCTGGCATCCATGCAAAAGGGAACAGTGGATAATCATTGTGAAAAAGGGAGTTTAAGGTGGTTGGGGCATGAATTTTAAACATGAAATGGGATAAGCCAGGCTGTACTGGCCACGAGTGTCCAGAGGCTCTACAAAAGGCATTTGGGGGATTAAAAAAAAAGTATAGAATTGACTCATCTGTTCAGACACATGTATCAGCGAGAAGGAGAGACATTCTCTGACTACATGCAAGATGAACCAGTGAAGGCGGAATGTGCTAGCAAGGCCCTCTGGGCCCAAGTACAGAAAAGGGCTCATCCACTTGATCAGATTGTATAGAAGCTGAGAGTCAGTTACTCCTATGGGCCTGTGACCTATTCCAAGCTGTAGAAGACAATCAGGGAGGAAGAAGCTTTTTTTTTTGTCAAAAGAAAAGCTTTATTTAGTTTACAGAAACATACATAGTTGTAGTTCTAGAACCATATTTCAAACAGCTTGCTCACATAGCTCCACACAGTCACCCATCAGGCAGAGAGGAAGAAGCTTTGATGGTGACCAAGGCTAGGAAGGCAAAAGTTTAGGGTGGAGCCCAGCCCAGGGCCGCCTCTTGCATCACTCAAGCTATTACAACTGTAGAGGGAGTGCCTGAGGCACAAGTCATGGCCTTAATGGACAGCATTGTGCAGACCCTTTCTTAATTGGCTCAGGCCCAAGCCATGATTCAACAGTCCCTCTCTGAGGTCCAGAGAACAGTAACACAGGTGATGGAAGATCATGTCGCCATGCAGAAATTTATGTTGGAAATGGGACAGTGTCGGCAATGGCAGCCAGACGGGGGGGAATCCAGCCCTGGACACTTAAGGCACTGTGTCCAGTGTGAAGAACCAGGACTCTTTCGGGCCCAACGCCCGCAGGCTGAGCCAATTGTCAACATTACGATTGAAGCGATACAAGCCTTAAAGAAAATTTTCTTTCTAAAAGGCAGCGGGAAACTTTCAGGGGCTCCAGTGAAGGAGTCAGCTGAGGGT